CTTCAGCTTCTCTGGACAAAGAAAGAGATGAAGAAGGTAAGGCTGAGCCTCCCTCCACGCTGCAGTTAATAACTGCATGCAGAGCATGTCCAGACGCAGAACGCTTAGGTCAGACCTGCAATTCTTCATGACCGCTTTCAGTTCCAGCACACAGGGGAAGAGCCTATGCATTTGCAGCAAGAAGGGAAAAGAAAAGGTAGCTCTGTGTGATGTGAAGCAGCTCCGGGGCTCATATAAAAGAGCTGAAGTTTACAGGACTGAGTTACAGAGGGGGGGAAAAAAAAAATCAGAGTTGCTTTTGTTTGCTTTTAAACACTTTTTTTGTCCATTAAATGGAGGATCTTTGGGGGAGGGGGAAGAATATTCCTAGTAGCTGAAAAAAATGAGGGTTGAAGTCAGTAGAAAAGTGCTCTTTGCCAAGTGGAATGATATCAAAGCCTTCCTATTCAAAGTATTTTTACTATTTTTTCTGATTTGTTTGGTTTTGCCTTTTAGAGTGGTGAATGCAATTTACACTGCCTGTCTAAAATTAGTGCTGTATTTTTATACAGCACCCTATGGGCTCTACGTGGAGATTTCTCATAGGGAGTAAAATATACTTCATCTAAATTTGGGACCTTGAAAACTAACAAAAACACTAGATGCATCAGTGGTGAGTTTCCCATGTCTAACTCTGCGTTGTTCAGGCAGGTTCATCGCCGAGATATTTTTTCCTAGAAGACCCAAAAACCTGCAGCTCACCACAGAGCCACGTGGAATGTGTCCTGGTGGCCACGTACCTTGGCGTACGTGCTCCATCCTAGGTGCCCAGAGTGTTTAGTCATTGTCCTTGTCTGCCGCACTTGGACTTTCCATTACTGGTAGTCTGTGGTTCCCAGCCAGAATAATTAAACAACTGGAAGCACAGTGTGAGAGGTGCCTTTCCGAATAGTCGGTCACCGACATAGACTTGAGCTCAGCAACTCTGGAGCCTTGAGCTTTCTATCAAGTTTTGTTAGAGTTGGAGGAAAAAAAATATTATTTGTTAGGTCTTGAGGGCAGTTAATCCCACAAAACAACACTAGGAAAGAGTAATCATCAAAATCTCTGCACTGTGTACCCTGGGATGTGTGTGGATTGTGAAGAAAAAAGACAAAGCCTCCCATCAACGTGTCCTTGGGCAGAGAGCACCACAGCTTTCCTG